TTGGTAACAAAATGAAAAATAGCTGAAAATTTAGGTACCATACGTGAAATTTACCTTGGACTCAACAACATCCTTTCTTTTACACACGTGGTCACATACAACTTCTTGCAGTCTTCAGCTTTCCACCATCAGCAGCACGCACTAGCAGTGATCTTCTCCGGCAACCAGGGACGTAGTAGGGCACGAAGAACAAGGAGCAGCAAGTTCACACAACGGCGCAAACGACAAACAAGAGTAGAGTGGTATTACGGAGAAGGACAGTACAATAAAATGTATATAAAAGAATAGAACACCGGTAGCAGGACCGGAAGAACATAAAATAGAGTACAGGTGATTCAACAGAATTTCAGTCTAATTCCACAATTTCAATTTCTTAATCTCATCCTAAACCATCAATAACACAATGATCATATTCACAAATTCAATCATCATTTGGGAGATAATGTATTAATGAATCCTAATCTATGAATCGATTCTAACAAGAGATACCACCACTAACCTCAACTAAATCGATGAATTCAAGATCCGAATTGAAGGAGGAGATGTTAGAATTTTGGAGCACCCCTTCCACGCGACTCTGCCCCGAGTCGACGCCCCCTACTAGTCTGGTTGCGGCAAAGGAAGGAGGAGATGGAGATGATCGACGGAGCTGCGCGAAGAAGAAACTTGATACAGACGGGGTTACGGGCGAGGTGGAACGACAACCCATGCATGCAGTATCGGGGCTTCTTAGGTGGAACGTTGATCCACCAAGAAGATATAAGGATTATGTTTAGTTTCATTATTTATCTACCTTAATTATTATAACATATATTTTATGAGGAGAGCGATTTATAAGCTCCTTCAAGAGTTTTTCTTTTTGGTTCTTTCCCTTGACGCCTTTCTTGAACCGACAGGTTAGACAATTAGAATATTAGGGTTTGGGGACGCATGCCATATACATTGCGTCACATACGCATGTATGAGGTGAAGAATAATAAACCTAATTTCCCCCCATATGTTTCTCTCTCTAAAACCCTAGCCTTTCTCTTTTTTTTTCTCTTCTCTCGTCAGGCCTCCGCAGGACAAATTGTGGTGTGACTTCCCCTCTGACGACATTCATTTGGGTCCCTGATAAACTCGTATTATACATAATTTTATCCTCACATTTAACACATTTTTTTCTATAAAAATAATTTTTTAAGAATATTTTTCAATTAAAAGTTATATTTTTATATTTAGAGTAGTAAAATTAAATGGGCCAAGAAAAAGATAAAAATATATTTGATGTCAACAAGAAATAGTTATATCTTCCTATTCGAATGGAATTTGAAGTTGGAGCAGGAGAGAAAAGTGTTCAGAATCAAATTGCAAAAAAAAAGTGTAAAGGAGCCGAGTGTACGACAGGCGACCAAGCAGGCGGCTGCCTACCTCGCAGCCTGCCGAGTTTAAGAAAACGGCGAGTTGGGATCCGGCGGCGAACTCACGTGCAGGCTGCGATATTTGGCTCTAGCGGGCTAGCAGGCGGTCGCCTGCTTGCCCGCCTGTCAAAGTTCTCGAAGTGTTGCCGATCCAGAAGCTTCAGATGTTGGCGGTGGCAAGCTGACAAGCGGCTGCCTGTCTGCCCGCCTGTGACTCTGGCCGGGTATAAATACCTCATCTCGGTTTTCCCCTTTCCACCATCCAAAAAAAATTTCTTCTCTTCCTTCATTTTTAGCATAAATTGTCTTCTTAGAGTGCTTAAGCTTTGATTGTAAGAGTTCTCAGATTTGTTATCAAATCCTCAAGATCTGTAAGCTTTTCGTGAATTTCTCTCTTATTAATAAAAATTATTTCTTTTTGTAATTTGTTTGAATTGTTTGTGATTATGGCAATTAGTGGCTAAACTTATATGAGGGTATGAATTGAATTAAGGTATGAGTTAATGTAATTAATTAAAATTAAATTAGTAACTTGATTAATTGGATCATTTTTCTAAAATGAGATTACTTAATTAATAGATCTAGCCAATTTATTAATTAAACATTGGAGATTATTAGTCCGGCTTGTCTATGAGTGAGGAAAATAACCTAGCCAACCATATTTAGAAACATTAATGAGGCCTAGAAAAAGGATAAGTTAATGAATTAAAATCTAATTATCAAGATACTAATTTAATTAAAGAATATTACCTTGTGAAATTTGCACTAAATAGCACTAAAACATAATGACTTTCCTAATCTAGGAGTTAAATTTTTTTATTCCCTAAATAGGACTTATTAATGTCTTAGTGAGAGAAATAATGTCGAGTAATGATGGACATTTACTTGAATAATGACTAATTTTCATAATGACCTAAAGTCCTAAATTGGGAAATAAAAACATATGGTCCTATATTGGGAAAGTCATTATGTTTTAGTCCTATTTAAGTAAATTACTAGCCCATACACTTGTTCAATTCATACCTGCTTTCTAATCATTGACAAAATTAATTCTATTATTGCTATTATTCTATTTGATACTCCACTTGATTGCTTTAAGTTTTTCTAGATTAATTTTTCTGTTAAATTATCAATTTAATTAACAAATACTTCCTTTTGCCAATCCTTGTGAGACGACCTGAGTTATTCTCGGTTAATTTATTTACTTACCGCTATATTTAGCTTTGTCAATTGGCACCGTTGCCGGGGAGTGGCATGGTTTAGTCAGTTTTTATATTTCTTGTTATTTGTTTTTTTCCTTATTTACATTTTTATGAATCGTTTTAATAATGATTATAATTCTCATTTTAATGATCGCCCTTCATACCCATATTGTGAAAATAATTTTTTTAATGATTACAATGAAAATTACCATTATGAAAATAATTTTTATGAAAATCCACCTATGTTTGAAAATGATTATCAATTTAATGATAATAGGTGGAACAATAATGATAATGGTAATTTTAATTGTTCACATAATTTTCAAAATAATTTTGGTAATGATCAAAGTTATGAAAATAATTGGTGTAAAAATCCTCCTATGAACGATATTTTTTCTAATGATTACTACCATCATTGGAGGAATGTGTATAATTTTGATAACTTGGATTATTCACCAAATTATCAGAATAACTATTGTGATTTTCATGATGATTATAATCAAGGCTATTGTAATAATCCCCCAAGATTTTTCAATGAAAATAATTATGAGCAGGAGGATAATTACAATAACTTTGATTATCAAGAAAATTATTCTCCTTCTTCTTCACTATGCCCTATTAATAATTTTTATGCGATTAATAATGAATTAAAATCGATAAAAAATGACATGGATCGCATTATAAGAAATTTAATTGGGCAAATAGAATTAAAGAGATACACTAATCCTAATTTTGATGAATTTCTTAAGAAGAAGGGTTTAGTAAACGAAGAAGGTGATCTTTGTTATATCTTTCCTTATTCTTCTCTAAATCCTGATTCTAATCTTTAGATTTTCAATAATGAAAAAGAAGATATTCTTAAAGAAATTGAAAATCTCTATGAATTGTTAGAATTCAAACCTAATGAATCTAATATAATTCATCAAAATGAATGCTTAGCTGATGAATCCGAGGATGAGGAAATTGAGGTAGATAAAATTGTTGAATCAAACTGATGGGAAACAAGCTCATTGAGAGAATACCAGCAAATAGGGCCTAGGCCCAATCTAGATCCCGTCCATCAAAAGGAGAATCCGGCCCAGAGAAAATATACTGGGCCGATTAAGGGAAGTTGTCCGTGAGGAAAGATAGGGAAAAAAATAGGATTGGGGCTTAAGGATGGGCTGAACCCCAGCCCATTATGAACCGGCCACCCAAAAGGAAGGAATCCTACAGAGGAATTAGGGTAAGCCGCCCCTCAACAGGAGGGACAAAGACAAGGAGTAAGGGACGGACTAAAGACAGAGAATAAAGAGATGGACAGACAAGTTTGTCCTCCAGTGGTTGGCTTCAAGCTGAGACACATCCCTCCGGGAAAAGTAAGGATGGCCTGAATATCCTCCCCAACCACCGCGAATATTTTGATGAGATGGTGGCTGGAGAGCGCATATAAAAGAAGGATGGAGTAAGAGAGGAGGGATCATCTTGTAATAGAGAGAGAAAATACTTGAGTAATAATAAAAGATACTCCGGCGATCCTTGAGTATATTCTGATCCCTAAGTGGACCGAATAGAGGAAGGGATCACCGGTTTGAGTTCCTATTTTGTGAGCCACATTTTCCATTACAATCTGTTACTATTCTCGTATTATTTCTCACTGTTATAAGGCCCGGATACCAACATTTGGACTTGGTCCGGTCTACAGTCCCAGAGAAAATATTGGGTATCCATCACTGGCACCGACCGTGGGCCGATTGAAGCTTCCTAGCCTTCTGGAAAGTTGATAGTGAGCTTATCTCATTCCTATTCACTTGGGAACACCTCTCCCTAGATTTGGGACAATCAGCGGTCCATCCAAGTGAAAGGGGATAGTTTCACAGTCCATCTAGAAGGACCCCTAGTATTAGTCGGTCCATCATAGAGGACCGCTTTCATAAGACGGTCATCCAGAAGGACCGATCTCGTCCGTAAGGACCGCTCTCCAAAATCGGTCCCTCTTTTCCATCAAAGAAGGATTCCAATTTTCATCATGGGGAAAAATCGGTCCATGAGAAACAGAACTGCTGCTAAGGCGCGGACCAACTTGGAAGGGAGAGAGAAGCTTTCGTCTCGGGATCTCAGGCATCAAATAACTCTCTCCCAATCCAGGCATGAAACACAGGACAAAGCTTGTGAATAGAGTTTTCACTCTAAAGCCCCTAAGAGTTCTCATCCAAAAGTTCCCAAGCAGCAACAGAGAGGTTTGATGCCGACTCCCCCATAGTCCGAAAGTTAATCAGATGGCTCAACAGGGAAGAAGAGGTCCAGTCCCAAAGCACCCAGAGGGAGACGAGCCAGGGAGAGGGTGAGGAGGTGGAGAGCCAAGGACGCATATCAGTGCACAAGAGGATGCGCAAAAACGTATCCCAGAGGTTGGGACCCAGAACTAAGGAATCTGGAGAAAATTGTGAGGAGCCCAGCAATGAAAATGCTAAGATATCCTCAAACTGGGGAAAAAAAATGGAGGAACTAAAAAGGCAAATTGACAGACATGGGTCTTTTGGGCCCACAGTGGAGGTAATTTCCCCCTTTAGTGCCAGGGTGATGAAAGCTAATCTTCCTAGGGGTATGAAAGCCCCCGAAATCCATTACAAAGGAGTCACTGATCCCAACGATCACTTGGCTGCATATCAAACTCACATGTTGATGCACGCAGTGGAAGACGAAATCCAATGTCGCCTTTTCGTAGGGACTTTAGAAGGACCAGCCGTAAAATGGTTCCTCCCTCTCCCTAATGGTACCATTGATTGCTTCAAAGATCTCGCTCAATTCTTCCTTAATAGAGGAAGGTTCCAGCCGAAGAAGCACTTCACTCATCTCTTCTCCGTGAAGCAAAAGGAGGGAGAAACCAACACAGAATTAGTGCAAAGGTGGAATGAGGCGATGAATGAGGTGGAACCCATGGATGATAAGACTTCCATCGCTCTATTCATGAGCATTCTGAGATCAGGAGAATTGTTCATAAGGTTAGATTACAACACCCCTACTTCCTACAAGGCTATGATGGCTAGGGTGAACAAGTTTTGCGCCACATAAGAATCGGATCGCTTAAAGGGTAAAAATAAGGGAGCTTTGAATAAAGGTTTAGACAAAGAGAAGAAAGGAAAGAAAGCTAAGGCAACCACTCTCTCCATCCCTACCTTTAAGCCATTGGCCGCACCAGTGGCAGAAATTAAGAGTAAGGAGGGGGGTGGACAGAAAAGGAAACGCGGAGATCAAAAAAGGAAGCAGTCGCCCTATGATCTAGACAAATATTGTAACTTCCATAGAAGGGCAGGAAACGCCACGGAGGAATTCATGTTCCTCAAAAAGATGGAATGTGAAATGAAGGAGAGGGGACCGATTTCTAACCAAGAGCCCAACTAAGGGGGGAATGTTTGGCGTAGGGACGCCCAACCTCAACAACAAATCTAGGAGAACCAGGAAGAATTCCCCCAAGTAGGAGTCATCTTCGGCGGTCCAAAAACGGGAATCACAAACAAGGAAAGGAAGGAATGGGCCCGCAGGTTATATGTGGGGTCCATTGATGTAGGCCAAATGGCCAAGAAAGGAAGAAGGGAGCCCATTGTCTTCTCCGATGAAGATTTACCGCTCATTCCCAGTCCTCACCGGACCCCCTTGGTAATTTTTATGGCTATTCACAAATTTTTTGTCAAAAGAATATTGGTGGACACAGGGAGCAGTGTCAACGTGTTGTATTGGGAGGCGGCCCAGCAACTGGGAGTCAGGAAGGAAGACCTCAAAAGGCTTAATATGCCCTTGTCCGGTTTCACCGGAGACATAATTGAACCAGAAGGGTCCATTAAGCTGAATGTTATGATAGGCGAGCATCCAAAGGTGAGGCATATGAAGATGGATTTTGTGGTAGTTGATATCAAGTGTGCCCACAACGCCATATTGGGGAGGCCTGGACTGGAGGATTTGGGAGGGGCTTTGTCCCTTGAACATTTATGCCGGGAAGAGCAGTTGGTGACCAACCCGCAGTAAAGAAGGCTTATTTGAACGCTTGCAAGAGGATAGACAAGGAGAACCTCAACATCCAGACCATTGGACAAGCCTTGGAAGATAAAGAAAGGAAAGAGGGGTGCCGGGAGAGGCCTAAGCCAGCCGTGGAGATGGAAGTGATGTTATTCCCTGACGGAGATCCGGAGAAAGTCGTAAGGATCGGCTTAGGGCTAGAGGAGGATGTCCGTGACGAGATTATCCGATTATTAAGAGAAAACTCGGTCCTCTTCGTATGGGAATCCAAAGATATGCCCGGAGTCGATCCTTCAGTCATCTTCCATAACTTGAAAATCAAGATGGATTCCCTCCCGGTCAAGCAGAAGAAGAGATATCTGTCCACAGACAGGAAAGAATTTGTGAGGAAGGAGGTAAAAACCCTCTTGGAGGCCGGCCACATTAGGGAGGTCCATTATCCTAAGTGGCTCGCTAATGTGGTGCTGGCACCAAAGGGGGACACCTTTCGCATGTGCGTGGATTTCACGTACCTCAACAAGGCGTGTCCTATAGACCCCTTTCCACTACCATGAGTGGATCAATTCGTGGATGAAACGGCGGACCATGAACTGTTGAGTTTCATGGATGCCTTCCGAGGATACCATCAAATTTTCATGCACAAAGAGGATGCGGAATCCACGGCCTTTATCACCCCTGAAGGAGTGTATTGTTATGTGGTCATGCCCTTTGGATTGCGTAACGCAAGGGCCACATTTACAAGAATGATCTCCTTACTGTTTAAGGAGGTCCTGGGACAAATCATGGAGGCTTATATGGATGACTTGCTGATAAAAAGTAAGAAGGCAGCAGACCATCCTCAACACTTGGAAAGATGCTTCAGCATCATGAGGAAGCACAATTTGAGGTTAAACCCTAAAAACTGTGTGTTTGGGGTCCAGGGAGGAAAACTCCTTGGGTATATGGTGAGCAAGAAAGGAATTGAAGTCAATCCAGACAAGTTAAAGGCCATCCAAGACATGGAACAACCAACAAATTTAAGGGAGGTCCAGAGATTGGTAGGAAGGATAGCGGCCCTGGGAAGATTTTTGGTGCGGCCTGCTGAGCGGTCCTTACTCTTTTTTACAATCTTAAAGGGAGGAGGAAACTTCCAGTTGACCGCAGAGTGCCAAGAAGCCTTTGAACACTTGAAAGCATATTTGGGCTCTCCACCAGTCCTCTCCAAGCCACTGGCAGGGGATATCCTCTTTTTATATTTAGGGGTGGCCCACTTAGCTGTGAGTTTGGTCCTCTTGAGGGAAGAAGAAGGGGTCCAAAATCCAGTTTAGTACACTAGTAGGGCCTAAAGAGGACCGGAAACAAGATACACCCCCTTGGAAAAATGTGTCTTGGCAGTGGTGGTGACTCTGAAAAGGTTAACTCCTTATTTCCAAGCTCATCGAGTGAAAATTATGACGGATCAACCGTTAGGAACAGTTTTGAGGGACCCATCCTCCTCTGGAAGAGTCATCAAGTGGGCCATGGTCCTCTCTCAATATGATATTTCTTACCAGCCCCGTTCCAGCAAGAAGGACCAGGTCATTGCAGATTTCATGGTGGAGTGTACAGCAAGAGGGAAGCCCAAAGAGGACGGGGCGAACCAGGAAAGAAAAAGGGAGATGTGGGAAATACACTCAGATGGATCCTACACCAGAGACGGATCAGGAGGAGGAGCGGTCCTCACCTCTCCTGAAGTCTTCAAGGCCTATCATTCTTTCAAGTTCATGTTTCGGGCCACCAACAACGAAGCAGAATATGAGGTCCTCATCGGAGGAATCCAGGTTGCCCTATTCATGAAGATAAAGAACATTCGCCTCAAATCCGACTCAAAACTAGCCATTGGGCAGCTAAAAGGAGAAATGGAGGCAAAGGAAGGAAGGTTGAAGAAATACAGAGACCGCGCCAGGACCCTACTTGGAAAATTTGAGTATTATGAACTCATATATGTTCCAAGGGAGGAAAATGAAGAGGCGGACATGCTTGCCAAATTGTGTAGGACCGTTCCGATCCACATGGAGAGCATGGTGAGGCAGCATGAGAAGACCTGTCCTGTTTGGGAAGAGGCAGTCCTTGTCCTTGAGATATCCGGTCCAAGTACAACATGGATGAGCCCCCTGTCCACATACCTTGAAAAGGGAGAGCTCCCTGTTGACCCCAAGGAGGCCCGTAGAGTCCAATTGATGGCTCCTAAGTATCAATTGGACGGAGGGAGATTGTATAAAAGGACCTTGAATGGACCGATGCTCAAGTGTTTGAGTGATAGAGAAGCAGGAAAAATATTGGAAGAGGTGTACCAAGGAGTCTGTTCTGCCCATCAAGGTGCCCTCACTTTGGCAAGAAAGGTAATACTCCAGGGGTTTTATTGGCCCACTTTGAAGAAAGATGCACTGGAATTGGTGAGGAAATGCCCAACTTGTCAAGCATTTGCACCAATCCCTGGACGCCCATCCACCTTTTACACCCCAGTCACTACAACTATCACTTTTGCTAGATGGGGTTGGATTTGGTGGATCCTTTCGTTCAAGGGGCCGGAAAGAAGAAGTATGCCATCGTGGAAATAGATTACTTCACCAAGTGGATCGAGGCGGAGGCCCTAGTGAAAATTACGAAGGAGAATTACCGGAAGCTCGTGTGGAAAAATTTTCTATGTAGGTTCGGCGTTCCTGAGCCAATTATAACGGACAATGGCACTCAGTTTGCCAGCAAAAATTTCAAGGAAATTCTGTGGTGCATGGAAGATTAAGCTCAGTCGAGCCGCCGTAGCCTACCCACAATGCAACGGGTAAGTGGAGAATGCCAATAGGACAATTGTGGACGGTATTAAGAAGAGATTGCACGAGCTAGGCACTTCTTGGGTGGAAGAGCTATCCTATGTACTATGGGCCCATAAAACTACTCCAAGAAGGGCCACGGGAGAAACTCCCTTTGCCTTAACTTATGGTTTTGAGGCAAAGGTACCTACTGAGATCTTAGTCCCTAGAACGAGGGTGGAGGCGTACACCCCGAGCCTCAATGAGCAATTGATGGAAGTGGATGCTCACTTCCTTCAAGAGAAAAGGGACGAGGCGGCAATGAAGATGGAAGAATACCAGCGGCAGTCCAAGAGATATCATGACAGAAAAACCGTACTTCGAGCATTTGAAGTCGGAGACTGGGTCCTACGAAAGAGGGAAAAGATTCAACCCACCAAAGGGGGGAAGTTGGCTAGGAGTTGGGAAGGACCGTATCGTGTGGAGAAGGTGGTGCGCGCCAGTACCTATCAATTACCTACAGCAGAAGGAAAAACATTGGACGATTATTAGAATGTGGAGCACCTGGAAAAATTCTATCAGTAAAAGGCGGTCTATGCAAGGTTTTATCCTCCCATAATTTATCAAGCCTTGTTCTTAGAATGTTTTCTGATTCCTTTTGTTGCGAGAGAATGAAATGTACTTTGGGCGCTCAACGCAAATAGAATGCCGAGATCGGAAATCGCCCAATTCCCGAGATAGAGCGGCGTTGCAGTCTAGGAGGCGGAGGGAGTGGCGTTGGGCGGAAGAGGTGGCTACATACTCGGTATGTCAAAGAGAAGGAGAAAGTAACAATTAGCAATCGTAAAAGGCATAGAGAAGTGAATGAGGGACTAAGGATGAAGAAGAGGAAGGGCACTTACCATGCGAGTATACTCCTCCAACATGAACGCCCAGGCTGGACTATCAACCACATATGGGTGGTCCCTCCGGAACTGTTGTATCTCTTGAAGACGATGGTTGAAGTCCCGTCCGACCCAAGCTGTATACCCTGCATATTGGTAGGCCTCTGGGGCATAGGGGTAGGGCTAGTCCCAGAGGCAGTATTCCCCTGCCCGATAAGAGACCCATCACCGGCGGTCCCCATGGAATGACCAGCGGACGCCGCCGAGCTGGGGAGAGGAATGGAGTTCCGGCCTCGCTTATAACGGGCTTGGGAAGATGAAGACTCGGTCTCATGGGTTGATGGACCGGGATCAGGAGTAGGGTGGACCGACGGTTGAACAGTGGCCCGTCGAAAGCTTGAGGACCGAATTAAGTCCTCTGCCTCCCTGAAGGACTGATGGATGTTCGCTCCAGGGAGAGGTGTTAGAAAAACGTCCCAACGCTAGAGGGGGGTGAATAGCATTAGAAACGAAAATGACGCAGGAATAAAAAATTAAAAGCGTAAAGTAAAGAGCAAGGAAGAGGCACACCGTTTTTACCCTGGTTCACCACATTTTGTGGCTAGTCCAGCCTCCCGAGAGACTCTCTTGAGCTACACTAACAACGTTAAGCTTACGGTGCTTAACAAACCTATACAACTTGAGAGTTCGAGTCACACGAACCTCAACGAACCTTCGAAGGAAACAACCCTTCCTTCGAACTACTCAAGAGAAAAGCTTTCTCTTATCAAGTTTCTAAGAACACTAAATCACTCAACAACAATACTCTCTTTTATAGTGGACAATGGATAACTAAGAACGCTCAAGAACACAACACGAACTTCACAAAAATGGCTCTCGAAAAGCTATGAATAATGTACGAATGTTATGCAATGAAAGAATAGGAGTTGTGAAGTAATGGGATGTGTAAAGCAGACCCAAACACCCCATTTTATAGTAGAAAAATAGGCTCCAACGGGTAGGAGTTAAATGGGGATGATTGGCATAATTTGTGGGATTTGATTAAAATTGGATCTGCTGAAAATCCTCTAGACAGCGTTGTCCATGGCTTGGACATTGCTGTTCTAGGCTTGGTTTTTGAAAATTGGGAAGCAACGGTCAAGCCAACAACGATGTCCAAAAACCCCTACATCGCTGTTTTGGTTGTTGACTTCCAAACAAGGAAAGTTTTAGCCATAAATTCCTTCCAACGGTCAGGTGCCTACATCGATGTTCATTACTTGAACATCGCTGTTCAGGCCTGACTTTGAAAGGGAAGGAATTGGCCTGACATCGCTGTTGCTAGGTCAACAGTGCTGTCCAGATGATTTTGGAAACCCAACTTTGGCTCAATAGCGATGTCCAAACACCAACATCGCTGTTGGAAAACTTAACGCCAAACCATGGTTTTCAGCTACCCATTCCAAACAGCGCTCTTGGTTATTCCAACATCGCTGTTGAGCTGGTTTAGCCAGACCCATGGTTGGTTTAGTCATGTCGTTAGCCGATGTCAAAAATCTAAGTTTTCCAATGTAAAAACCAAGTATTGAAAACATTTTTTTAATGCATTTTGCTAATAAAACAAGTAAAATATCTTGAAAACCACGTCATTTAGAATAAAAACCACGGCTAGCCAAGTTTACGCCGTTTCGCATGGTTTTTACTAAATGACCAAAAAAAAGAGGTGGTTTTTGGAGCGTTTTTGTTGGAGAACTATTTAAGTATGCCTAGAAGTAAAAACCAATCATAAAATGTTGAAAACCACTTGGTTGGTTCGGATGCCAAAAACCAATGCCGATAACCGAATGCCGAACGCCGGTTTCTGAAAACCGAACGCCGGATGGCTTGGTTTTTGGTTTGGGCGAAAACTAAGTGTTTTAGGCTTGTTTAAAACTTATGAGAAACATTTTTGAGTATGCAAAAGAATATTTTAATGGAGTAAGCCTAGAGAGCCAAGTATTGGAAGTTTGTGCCGGTCTTGATCACAATAAGACTGACTCAATAAATTCTAAGTCTTCGTTCTTGGTTCTTGGCTCTTGGTTTTCAATTCGTCATGCCATATTCCTTCGCCTTTTGTTTGCTCAGCTTAACCTTGTTATCACGGCGGGTTGGCATTATCAAAACCTGTCATAAAACGAACACGGGTTAGTACGACATAGCCGTAAGTCCGTGTTCCAACAAGAGGAGTGCCCTTGCCAAGGGGCGTTCCAAAAATGCTTTCCACTGCCGATACTGCAAAATTTTGGGCAGTGGGCAGATGGAGTTGGGAAGTGGCGTCATCCCCTCCACAACCAGCGGAGGGGGAATATTCCCAGCTAGAGGAGGGAGACTCCGGGCTGCATTGGATCCCAAATCCGTCCACCTGGACATGAGGCGGATCAAGAGATCCTTGCGAACTAGTGGCTCGGCCAATTGGACGGGTCCCACTGGTTTGGGGATGGAAACCTAGTGAACTCGTGGGCTGGGTAGAAGAAGAGGGGTGTGAGGAATGCCAGGGAAAAAAATTGGACCCCCTCAAGGTCCCTGGAGGGAAATCGTAGAGACCGCCATCATCGGAGACGTCCTCGACTACCACCTCCTCCTGGACGAAAGGGTGGTTGGCAAGAGGCAGAGGTTGATCCGCGACTGCGGACCCCACCTCTTCGTCCTCACTGTCCTCTTCCACAGAAAGATCCCTTCGAGAGGATCGTCGCGATCCCTTTCGAAATCGCGTGGTGTTGGAGAGAGGAGCCCAAGAAGAAGTAGTGTTCCCCAATGTTTCTTGAAGAGGAACATCAGGAGACACCCAAAACCCAAGACCCCGGAAATACGAGTTCTTGAAGAGGAGGGCGCGGGGAACTGGGTGACCGTTCTTGAGGAGAAGGCAAAAAACCCCCTCAAGGTCCGAAGTGCGGGAAGGAAAGGTATGGGAAGGAAACTTATCCTCCTTCTTCCTCCATACGTTGGGAAACAATAGGTCCTCCAGGGCCATCACCACAAAGAAGCGGCGAAACTAATCATCGAGCTTGTCGACCAGGCTCTCCAAGAATTGCATGTTGGTCCGGGCTGTGAAACTTACGAACCCCTTGCCCGACTCGCTATCATACTTGTGGTGGCAAAAGAAGGAGAGGAAGAGATCCAAAGTAGGCTGGATGCCTTTCTTGTGGCATCGGGCGAGGAAACACAAAAGGGACTTGTGAGAGTTGGAGGAAATTTGGCCGGGAGGGATGGCATACCGGTTACAAATCTCCACCAAGAGAGGATGAAAGGGGAAACACCACCCCATCTTGACCGAGTCATAATGGACGATCAACCGGCTGGGAGTGTTCTGATTGCGCTCCAAAGTAGTTCCCTCGGCTTCCTGGACTTGGTAGTCGAGAGGGACCATTCCCCTCATCTTCCTTAGTTGTCCGGGGGTGATGGAGGAAACATTTTCGTCCTCCTTGGCCTTCTTGTTGCCATTGAATAGCTTGGCAGCCTTAGATAAGGTTTTCTTCATTTTGGAAAAGAGGATGAAAGGAGAGGAAGAAGGCTGAGAGACAGGTATGAAGGCAAAAGGCTACGGATATGGTTATGAGAGCGTGAGAATAAGGAGAAGGGAACTGACCAATTTTATAGAAGGGGAAGAGGGGGAAAGAAACGGTCCACCTGCAATTAAGGAAGGGAACGGACTCCAAGGAATCCCTTCGAGGAACGTTACAACCCTTGGGAATTGGGCCAGGGACATTTAAGTGAATACGAAATTCAAGCGGTCCACTCTGCCAGTTTCCCAGGCTCAGGCTTGCGGTTCTCTGCTGACCCCCTTTTTCCTGCCACGGTCCCCACCATTATAAAGTAGGATAAGAAGTCAAAAGTGGCGCAGTAGTCAGAACGGTCCAATGACCGTTTATACGCCACACGGTCACTAGGCGAGCCCATGGCGCTACGCTCCAAAGGGATGCGGCCACATGCACCCCACTCACACAAATCATTCACATGTGGCCCGCAAAGAATGCATCAGGGGAAACATACTCAGAAGTAAATACATGATAAATTTTCTCAAAAGGTTCTTCCCATGAAAGGTATCTTTCGTGGGAGGAGAAGAAAAACTTTCCAATCTGAAGATGCAAGGTGTATTACAGTAAAAAAAATTTATTTTTTGACTTGTAAAAAGAGGGGCATGTGATGGGAACCAAGCCCATCGAGAGAATACCAGCAAATTGGACAGGTTTGTCCTCCAGTGGACGGCTTCAATCTGAGATACATCCCTCCGGGAAAAGCAAGGATGGCCCTAATATCCTCCCCAACCACCGCGAATATTTTGATGAGATGGTGGCTGGGGAGCGCATATAAAAGAAGGATGGACTAAGAGAGGAGGGATCATCTTGTAATAGAGAGAGAAAATACTTGAGTAATAATAAAAGATACTCCGGCGATCCTTGAGTATATTCCAATCCCTAAGTGGACCGAATAGAGGAAGGGATTACCGGTTTGAGTTCCTATTTTGTGAGCCACATTTTCCATTACAATCTGTTACTATTCTCGTATTATTTCTCACTGTTATAAGGCCCAAATACCAACATTTGGACTTGGGCCGGTCTACAGTCCCAGGGAAAATATTGGGTATCCATCACAAACATAGCTCAAGAAGGAACATCTTCTTTAGGCCAACCACCTCAAGAGGAGAAATTTGATGAAAATAAACACACCCCATCTTCTTGTTCGAATTAATTCAATTAAAAATAATGATGGAAATCACAATAATGGGGTGGAGGGAGTAATGCCTGAGGAAAACTTTACTGTTTCTCCATTAAATGTAGAAGAGAAAATAGATGATCAAAGACCTGTTTGTCCGTCTCTCAACGAAGAAAATTGAGAATATAAGAGCGAGCTTAAGGTAGAATTTTTTCAAAATCCCAAAGGCGTTGATCATTTAGGGGGCTCGGTTGAATTTAATCAGAGTGTATATCTTGAACCCTTAGAAAAAATTATTCAAGGAGACATTTTTGCGTCATCTAGGAATTTATCACAAAATGAGGGTTTCCTTGAACCATTTTTCATGAAGCCAAACACCCCTAAGCATGTGTCGTTATTGGAATATTTTATACAATGGGGTGTGTTTATATCTTTTTATAAAATTTTTATTCTTCTTTAGCTTCATGAATACATAGGTTTGCGCCACCTTACGGCGATAATCTAGAAAACACTGGAGACTCTCGAGGAGAGTGCTCCGTTAGATATGTTTGTTTTACCTAGTTGAGGAATAATTGTGTCAAGCTAATGACGTTAAATTAGCGCTTAACGGGAGGCAACCCATCACAATAATAATAATAATAATAATAATAATAATAATAATAATAATAATAATAATAATAATAATAATAATAATAATAATAATAATTAATGTAGCAATAGTTCTTATTCACACTTTCACACACTATGCACTTGTTCTTTTTCTCTTTTGTTTTGTTGTTTTCTTTTGCAGGGGAAACGAAGAGAAGCCATTGCAGTGAGCTCCGTCAGCATTTCGCACCCAATAATGTTTTAATGCACAAAATTATTTTTTTTGAAAATAAGTTTTTATTTCTAATCTTGGCCAAAATTTTTAACTTTTTATGATCACAAAATACTAATCTTGTCTCTCATCATATGCTTCACACTAAGTGTGAGGAAGTTGTTTTACCTTGATTTTTCAGCTCGCATCCCACATTTGTACCTCGAGGGTGAGGTCCAGCTTAAGTGTGACGAGGCTAAGTTGGATATTAGGTATGATAGAATATTATTTCCTTGATCAATAATCAATTAATATATATTTAGTATTTAAATTATTTTACATTTTCTTTTATTTTCTAACAATTTAAATAACTACTGACTCCTTTCAAAAATCTCAACAATGGACTTTTATTTTAAAGATTTTGCATGAGTTGGGTTTTGGTTGAGTAAGTCAAGGTTTTTAATTACATAACGATTGTAGGTCTTTTGGTCGCTTTATCTTTTTCTGAAATGAAAAAACAAAGCTGACTGTAAGGGTTGCGCTTTAGTGACGAATTGGGAATCATATCTCCATAAAGGAGCTCTGCTTCTCCCATGAATCGCATAAGGTGAGGGAGCAAGTATTCCGATCCCGCCTTCTCAATGACAGCAGACTAGACGAAATAACGCAATGCGTGGATCAACTATTCAAACCCCGCCTTCTCTGGGAGTTAGTTATGAAGCAAAGATTCTGCCCCATCATACAATGATTGGGCAACGCATGGCTAGACTGACGCTCGTTAATGATTGAATGAATGAATGAGCATCGGGTCAAAAGGTTGTTTCCATGTATGATTGTTGACTGTTGCTAGGCTTGTGGCTAAGTAGCATCTAGTTGCCTTATTTGACCTCCTCCACTCTATATATAGGTTGTAATAGAGGGAGGAGAGACATTCATTCATACTCACACAAACTTGTACACTTTTGAGACAAAGTAAGAAATATAAATTTGGACACATAAATGTTTTCCTGGTGTAGGCCACTCTTGTGTGTTCTTACCTTCTCGTGTGTTTTTCTTACCCGTCAGAGCCCGTTTAACAAGGCCAGGCATGGTCAAATATACTCAGTCATATTTTACACTATCAAAAGTGTAAATCCAAAATAACATAACCTTAATTGCCATTATTGACATTCCAATTTAGAGTGACTTTAAATACCATGGATGTTTTTCTGTGCTTATAAATTGGTCATAACTGCTTAAATTATAAGTGTTTTTTAACTTATTTGTCAGCTGATGACAAGTTTCTCTATGCTGATCACCTTGACTTATGAGCAATTTATATGCTACAATGAATAAGTAAGTTTTATCTACTTATTTTTAAGTCAATTTTTTCAAAACTTTATTTGCCCAGATTCTTTACAAAACTATTTATCACTATTTATAATTTTTTTCAAATACTTATTTATCATTTAAGTCATTTTATTTTTACAAAACTATTTATCACTATTTATAAATTTTTTTAAATGACTTATTTATCATTTAAGTCATTTTACTTTTATGACTTATTTATCATTTAAGTCAGTGTACCCCATTTGTACCCCCTCCATCTCCACCAAACAAAAGCAAGAAAAGAAAAAAAAATTAAAATTATAAAAGTAAATCTATGGCTATGATTGTTGGTGTACAAATGGGGTACACCAAATGGTGTACCCCTAGAATTCCTGTTAATGATTCAAAATGCTAGGAGTACACCAATTTTTGTACCCCATTTGTACCCCCTCCATCTCCACCATACAAAAGCAAGAAAAGAAAAAAAATAAAAATTATAAAAGTAAATCTATAGCTATGATTGTTGGTGTACTTCTAGCATTACTCTTATTTTATGCAATTCAATATAATGTGAGATTCTACAAAAAATGGGATTACCCAATAACAAAACAAAAGAATTTAACTCATCATTTCGTAAACTTTTCCGTAAAGAGGCTATGGGTGACCCTAAACGCGTATGAACTTTGAAAAATTGGGATTATTTCACATGACATTACAACAACATCCAGTTAAATCCCGCTACAGTAGGGTCTCAGAAGGGTGTGTGTACGCAGACTTTGCCCCTACTCGAAAGTAAGGAGGCTGTTTCTAAGAGACCCCCGTCTCAACATGCACAAAAATTTTCACATGACATTGAAAAGTATAATTATATTCGAAAAAATGCTAAAATGTGAGATTATTTTAAATAATTTCTCCTTTTTATTGTGGATGTTAGAGCACATAAGGTGCTTAAAAGTTGTTTTACCTAAAAAAAAATATCAAAAATGCTAGGGGTACACCAATTTTTGTACCCCATTTGTACCCCCTCCATCTCCACCACACAAAAGCAAGAAAAGAAAAAAAAAAATTAAAAGAAAAATGCTAGGGGTACACCAAAGGTGTACCCCATATGTCCCCCACCCTCTCCTTGTCCACTAAAAAAGGCAAAAAAATTTTAAAAAAATAAGTAAATAAAAATCAAATAAAAATGTGTGTTGGAGAAGGGGTGGTGTACATTTGGGGTACACCTTTTGGTGTACCCCTAGCATTGCTCAAATTAAAATTATAAAAGGAAATCTATGGCTATGATTGTTGGTGTACAAATGGGGTACACCAAATGGTGTACCCCTAACATTCCTCATAAAATAATCCTACTTTTTCTCTTCTCTTTCTAACTTTTATTAAGTCCATTGTTATTGAAATTAAATAAATTTATAAAACTTTTTTATCCTTTAAAAGAATATAAACTTTTTTTTATTAATAATCAAGAAAATTTTAATTTTTATTAATCAAGGCAAATTTGTCACTATTCTATGAAATTTTTTTAAAAATTAAATTGAAGTTACAACCATTTTGGAACATTTTTTAAAACAAAATTTAAGTGGTTAAACAAAGATATTTGTAATTCGTCATTTCGTTAACTTTTTCTGTCAAACGATGACCTAAAATGCACAACAACTATAAAATTTGAGAGTGAGAATATTTTCATAACATTGAAACGTAGAATTATTTTTGAAAGATGCAAAAAAGTGAAAATATTTATGATGATTTACCCAACAAAAAATAGTGGCCGGATCCTCTTACATAAAAACTATTTTATTCTTTTTCATAAAAAAGAGAATAAAAA